AACCAGTTTTCTGTACTCGGAAGTTGAAAAATTGGGCCTTTAAAAGCGGTAGTCCCAGGCTTCTCCCACATCTTGCTGTTGCATTTCATTGGATCCGAAGCGGTTCCAAGTTCTCGGAGAGCATTGAATGGAGAGCTAGGTGTACGGGTAGAATTCTGAGTATCCCTTACGAATAGGAAGTTGAAACTGCAAAATGAATATCCCAAACAGATTATGAGCTAAAAAATTTAATATTAGAAGGCAGTGACAGTTTGGAAGGTGTAGGTAAGCGGTGTTGACAGTTAGCGTCACCGTGGTGCAGAAGTAATATTCTTCCGGAAAATGTTGGATTGCTCCTCGTCGTAAATGGAATACTTGTTGAAGGTACTTTCCTTCCAACTAACTTTTTATCTCATTTTCTAGCACTTATTTGTATGAGCGCGTTACTCCAGCAATCGTATACGCTTTTTGTGCCTGTCAAAGTCGGAATGGTTTTGCACTTCGTTTGTATGATTCTCTTCGATTTCTAACTCTGTAAGATTCGAAATGGAGGTCTTCACCATGATAGACAATGCGACTTTGGAAGGCACAGCATTGATTAAAAAAATTCTCTGATATTTCCCATTGCTAGCAATCTGTGGTTTCTATGAAGAGTACATGGGTCTCAGTTTGAAAATCAGCCTTAACGGAGCGCTATGTAGGATCAAAAAACCGTCCTGACATTCTCCTTCGCTTACAAGGAAGGTCTTTCAGGGCGTGGGACGCTTTTTGAAAATGGTTTTTTTGCATGATGTAGGGGCATGAGCACTGAGTATAGAACTATGGTCCATTTCCGCTAAATGGCCTTCTGAATGCCAAAGAAAAGGTGAAAATAATTCTGTCAAAAATTGCCGTTTCAACCCACAAAGCGTCGTTTGTTTCATTCATGGCGTCGACTGTCCGTACATTAGAAGGCGCCAGTGGACTGCGCACTGAAAATAACGTGAACGGTAGCCGAAAAAGGGGCCAACATCTTGAAAAAGTTGGAAGGTGCGGGGAAGTTTCATATGTGCTCTTCACGGTTGAGTTCTTGTCAGCGACGGAGAGTGTGGTGGATAGCGATGTGGACTTCGAGTTGGGACGACTAAGCTGGGTTGATGGTTCGAATCCCCGAGGCTTTACCGTTTTTGCATTTCATGCTGCCACCTCCAAATGGCTCCATATTGCGCCAGGGCTAAAGCAAGTGACTGGTCATGGTTGTAACCAGAACCACCCATAACCTCTACAAGTCGTATGAATCTGATGTGTGTGCACTATCAGTGGAAGAGCTTCCAGGCTTCACAAACCAGGAGTCTCT